CGCGCCCCCGCCGCCAACCTCGACCCGCAGGACTCGCACTCCGTCCTGCAGAGCTCCATCCCCGACCCCGCCCTCGTCCAGAGGCACATTTACGAGCAGATGTTCCAGGCCCGTGTGCGTGACGCCTGGCCCCCGCATATTGAGCAATCGCGCGTCGATGCTACCGAGCACGTCAACCACATCTACGCCCGCGTGTGCGCGGCCGACGGCATTGGCCTCGCCGCTATGATGCGCCCTCCTGGCCCCACGGAAATCACCACCCACGCCACAGACCTCGCCCCAAATGCTACTGCCAAGGAGAAGACCCTCAGTCTGGAGGCGTTGCTGGAAAGTAGGAATACCGCCCCGCAACGCCCGACGAAGACTATTAGCCAGATGCCGCTTGCGAGAACCGCCTCTACGAGTACCCCGCTCATGTCCGTGCGCTCCAATTCCATGGGCGAGATTATCGACCGCCCGAAGCTCCCTATCTGATCGTCCGACCTCGCCACTCACATACTGCAAATCCAGTCACGATCCACCACCACCACTTTTTACGCGGCAAACTAAGAACCAAGCAGGGCAACGCCTGGCCCTGTTACATATGTGCTTCATTTTAACATCATGGGAGCAGAGTTTTGACCCAAACTTAAACAGGGCAATGCCGTCGACGCTCTGGCACAATATGCTACAGTACAACAAACCTTATTGCTAACTATGTATCAAACTATACTGTACACAAATTGACATGTGCACACATGACCAACCCCTAGTTCCTCCCCGCCCCCCCGCCCCCCCGCCCCCCCCCATTGCCACTGCCCTTTCGCACGTAAATGCGGGCCACGCAGGACGGTGATTTTTGTTTTGGTGGCGCGTTGGCCGAGCGTCGAACTTGGTTCTGGATGGAACCACAGTTGCACACTTCCCCCCCTCATTTGTGTACAAGTTCTTGCCCGATATCGTGCATCCCCTCGATACCACTGTCAAAGAACAATCCACTTACCATCCCTAAATATGCGTTTCGCGCGAGGCGCATCAGCGCGCGGCGAACCAACTCCCGTCTTAACCACTTTTGTTACTCCACCCTCCGAGGTCTTCTTTGCCGGAGCCCTATCCGACCTCTCACCGCTATCGGCGGATACGGCATGTCCCAGTTGCCTTGCAATAGAGTCAAACATACCATCCGCTTCCCTTCCTTCACTGCCCTCAGTACCCATCCCCGAGTTGCCCGTGCTTCTACCGGACACCTGCGACTTGTAGCTGCGTAACTCGTCGAGAAGCAGCATGGACCAGAAATGGAATGAGGAGAGCAAGTCTTTCGAGTTCTTCTCATTCCGCCGGACGACAGCCGTCACGTCATCCAACTGCAACTGCAAGGCAGCGACTCTGCAACGCAACTCGGCAAACGACTCTCCATGAGTGCTGCCATCCATATCAATTTCGTTGCCCAGGTAGCAACCAACGTCCCTAGAGCTCTGGCTAGCGACCTCGGCTAACAAGCCGGCCTTTCGCTCGTACAAGAGACGCATAGCGGCGGCGGCTCTGTCAATGTCCTTGCCGTCCCCCACGCGACCAACTTCAACAACCCAGGGATCGTTTGCGAGGAACATAACGCCTAGGACGTCGACCCATTTGCCAGCGCCACACCTTCTGATGGCCTCGACCAGCCCCGCGAGGAGGGAGACTGCGCCTGAGCCCAAGTCGGTGAGCGTGTCGGCCGTTGGCTGGAGGGTAAGCGCGGAGAGGGCATGGGGCGTGACGGCGGGGCGCCAGACGTGGCGCGCCCAGCGGTTGAGATGGTGGAGCACATGCGGCTGCGGGAGGGCACGGATGCCGTCGCCGAGAAGAAGGGTAGGGTCGACGTCCTGGTCAGAGGCTAGGGTGTTTAGCGCGATGGTGAGCCAGGCCGGCGAGGACAACATGGAGAAGGGAGAGGAGCCGAGTTAAGAAGCAGACGATTGACACATTGAAGCGACGGCGTCGATGTTAGGGATCCTTTCTAATGAGGGTGGGTAGGGTGAACGTAGAAAAGGAAACCACCGAAAAGAAGAACGCACGCGGCAGTTTCTCGTGAGTTTGTATGAATCTGCAATTACCGTACAATCCAAACCACGGAGCCATAATCTGGAGATTGTAATACAGAGCGGCATTGTACACGTGTATGGGGAGGACTATACTGTACACGCCATGCGTGTATGTATGAGTACTGTACCTTCCATCACTTGTCCACGACGGCAAACAAGAACGCCCTCACTACGTCCAACGCGCCTTCACAGCTAACGGCACTTCTATATTTGGCATATCAGCTGCGGTGTTACAAAAGGAATACTTTACGATTCGGCATCGTGCAGGTTGCGATGTAGTGCGGTATATCAAAAATCTGCCCAGATCAACTTCGTGTGTGAGCAAAGCAGTCGCAGTGTGCACATCAAAACTTCCTCCTTCAATTTGTGAGAATCGCCGAGTTGGCGACGGCAACAGCCTTTTTAAACTTCCATGTGAAGAAGTTGTTTACTTGCGCAACCGACTCTCACGGGCTCTCATGCATTTGTTTTTAAAACAACTGCGTGAGAGTCCGCTTGCGCAAACGTTCCATACATAGCAATGCATGTGGGCGTTCGCACGACAAGACAAAACAATAACGATTGTTTTAACATGCAGAACGAAGAAAAATGACTGCGATCAACAGGTATGATATTGTAAACGGTGCCGGATTCATACATACTGTAGCGTACGTATGAAGTTCTTACCATGAACGGCATCTGAACACAGAAGTCGAGCACACGGACCGGCTGGCAATGAGATGCCTTCATGCAGTATCGCTTAAATTTATTAGCCCCCTGCAGCCGTGCCTGTCGCGTTCTTCGGGACGTGCGGGCCGCACAGCGGCAAGCACGCGGTAAGCGTGAGGTCCTGCGCTTAAGACTTGGATTGAAGCTTCGCCGTCGGGGATTGCAGCATCGCCACGTTCTCACATGACCGACACTACTACGGCAGTTGTAGATACCTGCTTGTACCCTTTTGACGGATATCCCCGAAAATTCCTTCATCTTGCGCTCAGATTGATAGAGGCAAAGGGCACTGTTGAATACCCTCGTGCATCAACAAGTCCAACATTTGGACATCACATGATGGGTGCGCACCCGCCGCACCAAATATGTTACCCACATTTTTTTTTCTCGCTCCTTTGTTACTCCTACACGTGGTGCAGCCTTTCTTCCGACACACAGAGTGTCTTGTCCTTTTCCTTCATCTAGAGTCTATTGGAACTTTGTCCTCATATGAGAACACTATTCGACCTATTTTATTCTTGACTTCCGCTTCCTCGACAAGAAGAAAAATATACCCCCGCTACCATACTTGACGTCCGACTTGGGGACAGAAAGAACTCAATGAGAATTGCATGATGTTCTGCCTGGTCGATTTTAGATAAGTCTGGAAAAGAAGCTTTTTTACACCACCTTAAAACCGCATGTGAAATAACTTCGAAACCAAAAACGCCAGTTTAAAAATGGAACTAGTCACTCAATCTTCATTACATTCTTAATCTTTCGGCGTGTTCAAAGCTGCTATCCCAGTGTTCTGCAAGATGTTATTGCCGAAAACAAGCACGTCAAGGAAATAGTGTTCCAAGATAGATGTTTAAATGTTCAATTTAACTTTCACCTCACAGTTCTTGCCAGCAGTCTATACTACTCAGGTCTGCACCTCCGGCTCACACGGGCTGGGATACCGATGAACCGCACGTCAGGGGGAATGCCTACAAGCCTTGAAACGAGCCACAATTTGCGTGTGTCGCTCCTCTCGCATGAACGCTTCCGGTGCACTTTCCAGAACCCCGAGCTAGGTCGTGCGTTTCCCTTCGCCTTTGTATTTCCTTTCTTCAGGAGGCCGGGAGATGGCCAGCGACGAGGTGTTTGTCTGCAAACTAGAGGCGAGTGGGGCTGTAGCAAATCAATATTTTGTTGCTGACAGGATGGAAAAGAGCCGGCGTGAATGTAAAGAGGCATCAAGTTTGAGGGAAACGTGACAGACTTGGAAGCTGCCAATCTAAAGTTTTAACTTTTTCTTACGTCATCCAGTCAATACTCGTCATAGCAACGCTACGTACATCTGAAATGGAAGGCAAGCCCGGGGGAAGGCTCGTGATGCCTGGACGGGCCTGAACCTTCGAGTGTTTCCTGATGATAGCTGAAGCGTCGAGCTGGGGCCATGTCAGTCCTCTCCATGCTTCTTCACATCAAAAAGAGAAAGTACTGCGGCGGTGACAGATACGGATGGTAACAAGAAACGAGGAGAACGGGGAGGAAGAGACGGATTCGGCCATAGACGTCGCCGAGTAACGGAGTGCGAAGAAGAGATTGCACAATCAGGATGATGTACCTAGTGTGCTGTTCGGCGCCTATCCTCGGGTTGATCTTTGCTTGTCTCAAGTTGCAGCATCCCACTTGCAAAACAGTTTTCTGATGTTTTCTCAATAGAACTGGTCTAGCGGCAGAAGAGAGCGGACTGAGAATCTTTGCAATATCTATAGTCTCTGGATATACCCTTTGGTGAGACTTGAAATGTATGGTGAGTTTTGATGTTGAACGTTTACTAGCTCAATAGGACAGGCAGGATCCGGAAATTCATCAAAGACGAGTACAGTGGCGCTCTGCAAAGTAGCAGGTGTCGCAACTCGTATACAAACACGACGCCTTCCAGAAAGTGATGATATCGATCGACAGCGAATTTTGCTGATCGTCGATGAAGAAGTAGAGGTATGAACAACTCTACGCAGCAAGCGAAGTGCCCCAAATATGAAAACGCAATCCCGTTGTTGCGATGGGCAGAATGCGAAAATTCGAAGGTGTTTCTAAAGAGGAGACAACACGTCTCACTTCTGGACCTCGCGAATCCCGTATTTGGTTTGCATCTCTGTGATTTCCTTGTCCTTTTCTTTTATTGTCTCGGAGAGTTGTTTGACTGTATCTGTGAACTGGGCATGGGCGATGGCACAAGAAAGAATTAGTCAGAAACGAGCAGAAGGCATGAAGCGAAGGCGGTGCAAATAGGAAGATGAACATACGCGATCGCGATTCATGGTGAGCACGGGGAGCACATCAGCGACCTTCTTCTCGGCGAGGACGGGCCCGATCTGCTGCCAGCATCTCCTGTTGCCGTCGAGGCCGCTGAGCTGCTTGAGAACCAGTCTACAGGAGTGGAAATGGTGGACGCGTCAGACAGCGGTCGGGAGCACATGTGAATTGGACGGAAGCAGAAGGAGATGCATACTCGTGCTCGTTGCGGTCGCCGTCGACCTGGCCCAGCTTAGTGTAGAGGGCGTCGCCCTCCTGGCGCAGGCCCTGGTAGCGGCCGACAAGCTCCTTTTGCTGTTCCGGCGTGAGGTTTTCAGCCATTTCGGGGTGTAAGGGGGGGGGGGGGGTCAGGGAGGTGGCGACTTTTCGCTATGTGTAGGAGGTCGACCGGAGAAGAAGGGTACGAAGGGTGAGGCCCTGACTGGGGAGGCAATGTATGTTGTATGATTCAGGGCCAGTCCTAACAAAGGACTTTTTTCTCGTTTTTCCTTTCCCTCGCCCCGTTTTTATTGAGTTCTTCACTAAAATCGGAAGCACATTGCTGTAGTTTTTACTGTAATGCCATCCCATAGTTCCACTCCTCGGAAATGGAACAGAGTCTGGACGGTCTGCAGATCCATGCAGCATGGAAGGTACAGCAACGCCTCCTCGCGCATGCACATGGCCCAGTCTGACTCCCTGTAGCTCGACAAAAGCAAAGCTGGACGACGTGTTGCTATAATGAGGTCCCTCGATGTGCATGACCAAAACTGGGCTGGATTGAGATATGAAACGAAAGATATGGAAGGGATGGAGGGTGCGGGGAGAGACTGTGTCGGTGTCGATGTTAGGAGGATGACGCGGTGGCGGGGACAATAGCATGTCGGAGGATGTGTGTTGGTCACGGTACTGAGGAGGTGAGGAAGATGGTGGTGGGGCGTGGTGGTCGGGCGCGAGGTAGGGGTGGCGGGGAGGAGGGGACGTGGGGATTTTGGGGGGGAAGGGGGGGTGGCGGGGAGGGGACGTGGGGATATTGAGGGGAAGGGGGGTGGCGGGGAGGAGGGGACGTGGTCATATTTGGGGGGGAAGGGGGGTTGGTGGCGGGGGGGAGGGAGCGAGGGCGGGGTGGTTCACAGGAAAGGGATTTCGGCGAAGCCACTTCATCATCGATCATGAACTAGAGAGCAGCCTCCCCGGCTTCTCTCCATTTCATGATCGATGCCAAGGAGGCATTTGATTTCAAAAAGCTGAACTCTGGGTGCTGAACTCTGGATACCCTTCTGCCGTCCGGTGGTGCTCCGTTTCCTAAACAGAGTGTAAAATGCTAGCAAACGACTGTCGCAAATTTCACGTGGGCGTCGAGGCGGGGGAGGGCCGAGTTGTGCACATAAAATGGCGGGAGAAGGTACTGTGTCTGGTTTGTAATGTTGAGAGAACTAATGTTTTGATCTGCATGTGCTCGTATTTGGATTTAATTCCACCCTTTCATTGTACTGCAAGTGCCACTGCACCGCATCGAGTCCATGGAATTTTAGTAGTGTGCATATGGACTGGGTGTGGATTGGTACTGCCTTTAGCCAATGGATTTCGACCAGTTCGCAGAATTAACAAGCATTACAGTGGTTCTGTGTAGCATTCGTTGTGGCGTGCGATTAATTTAATGAAATGATCCGGCCAATAGCGTGACCGCAACTGGTTGAAGGAAAACAAAAGAAAAGAAAAGCGCCTGTTAGGACTGGCCCTCAGTCTGTTGTCCAGTGTCAAATTTATTTGGCCACGTGTACAGTAAATTTGCCCGTCCAGGTGGTCCCACTTGGACGGGTGGGACCACCTGGACGGGCAAATTAGTCTTTTCGCCTCCTGAGCAAGTCCCAGGACTTGCTCAGGAGGCGAAAAGAGTCCGCATGCTCACGTTCGACGCTGCCCGACGCACTTGAATACTGCTAGCGCTCGTCATCTTCCTTCTCCGCCTCTTCGCCGAACTTATATAGGAGTAAAATGCTCTCGGCATGCGACTATCAAAAAAAAAAATGAGCCAGCTCGAGGGATGCGGCCGGCGCAGATCAAACTGTGTCTATGTAGCCGCAGTCGTTTGAGTACACTTGTATACGTGGAAACGCATACGTGTACATGCACTCGCGGATGATGAACATGACCCATGCACGCGCGGGCGATGAACATAATGATCCAGTTCATCGAGCACGAGCAGCGTCTCCAGCCTCACGGCAGGGACGGCCATGCCTTACAAAGGTACTGCAGGCGTCCACTTTGGCCGTCCACTTTGGCTCGTCTTTCATGCGGACAGACGCCACGGCCGCGCTGTCCGTGCCCGGGACGTCGATAAGGTGTGCGGCTGCGGAACATCTCACGCGGCTCGCACCCGTCCCTGATACTATCCCTTCTGCAGTTCTTGACGATATCATCAACGAAGCTCTAGCTCAATCAACCGCGAAGTCAAGATCACCTTTATGGTGTGATATCTGTAAGAAGAAGAGAACGCCGAAGTCAACGGTGAGGGGCCTTGGAGAGACACTGGATGCAAGCGAGTGGGCTGTCATGCAGGGGGTTTAGGGGATTCGTAGAAGCTCCAATGCACTGTATACGCATTCGAATCGTCATTACAAACTCGCAGCTTGCTCTGCAGGAACGGTTTCACGGCACTAGCAAAGTCCTTGGTCTCAGCTCTCGCCTCCGTTGATCGACAATACCGCCAGCGACAATACCGCCAGCGCAGCCGATGCAGTATGCTCACCGGAAGGCACCCACGTCGCCTCGGACCAACTCCAACATCATTTATATGTACTTCAACGTGCAAAACCTGGAGACTGGATTGTATGTGATAAGGAGGTTAGGTGTGAAATAGAGCTTGTTCTGTACACGTGTACAGTCTACAGTACTTCCTTACAGAAACGGGCCTTACAGAAGGGAGCTTGTTTTGTACACGTGTACAGTCTACTTTCTTACAGAAACGGGCCTTACAGAAGTCGAACTTACATATCGAACGTGCAGTCTACACATGGCCACGTCCTCTCATCTGTGCGTCAGAGGTGCTGACTGGATTTGGATGAGATTGCGAGCTCTGCGATTCCTTCACTCCCTCACTCTTTGACAAAGAGTCTTTGTTAATAGGGAGCAAGACGGCAAGCCTTATCAAACACGCTCCCCCGCATGTGAGACGTCACCCGAATCCCCAATTCTCACGACTCCCGACTCGCAGCAACCCCTGACCGTACCTTGCTTCATGGACCTTGGTTTTGTGCCCACCGTCGTGTCGAGAGGCATTCTGCGATACCAGAGACTTTCCACCCGCTGCTTGTCGTCGCACCCTGCCCCATTTAACGTCCGCGTATCCCGCCGAGCGCGGGCCACGGTTCGGGCCACCGCCGATCCATCCTCGCTCCGCGGAAGCCGCCGTGTCATCACCACCCCGTTGTACTATGTCAATGCCTCGCCGCACATGGGCTCCGCCTATCCCACGATCGCCGCCGATGCCCTGTCGAGGTTCTATCGCATGGCCGGAGCGGAGCCTTTCTTCGTGACCGGGTGCGATGAGCACGGCGAAAAGGTCGCCGCGGCGGCGGCCAAGTCGTGCGGCGGCACCTGTCAAGTCGCGCAAATCCAGCAGTTTTGTGATGACGTTGCGACGGAGTTTGACAACCTGTGGCAGCAATTGTCCATTCAGCACGACAGTTTTGTGCGCACCACGAGCCCGAGACATGCCGCTGTTGTCAAGCAGTTCATGGAGCGCGTGTGGGACAACGGCGATATATACAAAAGCGTTTACGAGGGGTTGTACTGCACAGGGTGCGAAGAGTACAAGGACGAGAAGGATCTCTTGGAGGGTCTCGTCTGCCCGTCGCATCTCAAGCCGTGCTCCGATAGGAAGGAGGAGAACTACTTTTTCGCACTCTCCAAGTATCAACAAAAGCTCGAGGCTTTTCTAGAGGATAACCCCGACTTTGTCCTACCACAAGAGCGAAGAAACGAAGTTCTTGGGTGGGTCAAGAGCGGTCTCCGCGACTTTAGCGTTAGTCGAGCCAACAACCCGTGGGGAATTCCGGTTCCTCGGGATGAATCTCAGACCATCTATGTCTGGTTTGATGCCTTACTTGGATACGTAAGCGCTTTGCTGGAAGACGCGGATACACCTGATTTGGACACGGCACTTGCGAAAGGGTGGCCAGCAGATGTCCACATTATAGGAAAGGACATACTCCGCTTTCATGCCGTGTACTGGCCCGCCATGCTCATGTCAGCAGGCGTGCCGCTCCCGAAGAGGGTTATCGGTCACGGTTTTCTTACCAAAGATGGCATGAAGATGGGAAAAAGCCTGGGAAACACACTGGATCCAGTTGCTTTGGTGAATACCTACGGTGCCGATGCGGTGCGGTACTACTTTTTGAAAGCTGTCGATTTTGGGAGGGATGGCGACTTTTCCGAGCAGCGTTTCGTCGAAATTGTGAACGCGGACTTGGCAAACTCCCTCGGAAACCTGTTGAACAGGTCCTTGAATCTATTGAAGAAAAATTGTGGCGGTGTTTTGCCAATCTCTGCCGCGGACCTAGGACGCGATGAGGCATATGCGGAGGAAATGCAGCTTCGCCGAGTGTCCGCGAGTGCGACGGAAAACGCGTTTACTTCTTACGCAGACCTCGACTTTATGTCGGCATGTAACGAAGTCATGCGGATTTCGAATATAGCCAACATGTACATTGATCGTGTGGCGCCTTGGAAAAAGTTTAAGTCAGATGACATGGTCGAGGTGAGGGAGGCGGAAAGGTGTATAGTCAGCGTTTTGGAAGGATCTCGAATTGTTGCAGCTGGTTTAAGCCCTGTCGTGCCGGAGGTGTCCATGAAGATATATGAGGCGTTGGGATTTGCGGCAGACTACGCCTCGGGTCTTGATTGGGAGAAGGAAATGAGATGGGGCAAGCTGCCTGCCGGAATAGTGTTGGGGAAGCCAAAGCCTGTATTTCCGAGACTGGAGCTAGCAGTTAGGGAGGCAGTAGCTGTACCATAGTGCGTGCGTCGAAAAAGGCCCCAATTCGTATATATCGGCCCTGATCCTCAACTGCCCACTCTCTAAACGAGAATCCTGTTCCCAAGTGCACGGATACTTTTGCCTTACTCCACAAAAAGATCTTCCATAACTTCTCCGATTTCATCATGCGATAGGATGCGAACTGCGGCGGTGCCGTTTGTTCCCTCCAATCCAGTATCATCCATGACATCCATCTCTTCCGATACCCGAGATTTCTTCCACGGAATAGTTCCGACAACCTCGTTTCCATAAATCTCATCTAATTCTTCTCTTCCCCGCTTTCTCAAAGCCTGCGCAGCCTTCTCGCGCCGTGTTTCCACATAATCGCGGAACTTTTCTCCATCGTCAAACATCTGCTGTGCGCTTTCGCAATAGGCAAGCTCGTTCTGTCGTTCAAAATTGAGTGCACAGTCCTCGACCCAGTCCGTTGTGACTACATATGCAGTTCCGGAATGCATTGCGTCCATGCACTTTTGCGTGTCCGGCACTCGTTTTAGAGAAGTGATAACGTGCGTTGTTCTCCCGTGGACGAATTCCGAAGAGCAAGAGGCCCCCAGGCGAAGAGCAAGATTCCATTCCGGAACTGTTTCGGGGGCATCTTTCCTCGGTTTCAATCCACTGAAGGTGAGAACACAACCCGCTAGCACTTTCTTGCGAAATTCAGAGAGAATGTCTTTTACGTCTGCCGGTGATTGAAACTGCTGGCCCGCTGACTGTGCCTCAACTCCGTTGTGGGCCTTTCGCGATTTGCATCTATCGAAAAATTCTTTATGGCAGTCTTCGAGGACCTGTGCCAGTCGCAGGAGGTGGGATCTTGACTTTGGAGATGAGTCAGTTTCCCACCAACCTTTGGCAATGCTACGGAATTTCTCCACATTCGTCGCTTCGCCTGAGTGCCCATCAGGTTTAATGCTACGGGCCGACGTATCGCCATTCTCCTGCTCACTTTCTTTTGTCTCGTGGTCGTGAGCATTTGTTCTATCAGTTTCATGTATATTTGTTGCGGAGAGTTGCTTTTCAGGCTCGCTCGTTGCAGCTCCGACAGTCCCTTCGGAAGGGCCAACGGTTTGTGAGGGCCTTAATTCAAGTTGCGGCGGTGATAGCACGGTGATGGCCGTATCTTCAGGCGCAGTGGGGCTGTTCTTTGCAACGTCATTCGAATAATTGGGTGATTCCATGCCGCCCTCAGCGTGTCTAGCATCCGCTTCCTCCGGTTGCTGGACCTTGAGGCCAGTTGGTTGGAATGGAGAGTCGTTGGCAGGGCTATCAAGGTTGGCGTGTCGGTGATTGGAAATGTCGTTGCCGTTACCAATGGTGGTGGTGTTGTCAGAGTTAGTGGTTAGTGTGCCTTGAACAGCAGGGGGTTGTTGAGTATTGTCCGTACTTCCCCCGCTGGGCTTGTCCGCAAGTTGGTGTGCAGTTGGGTTGTGGTGCTCTGGTGGGGCGACGCGATCGTATGCCTCATGCATGCCAACCCAGAAATGGTAGGGCTGTGCACGAAGCAAGTTGGGCATATAAGGTTGGGTGGAATCGGAGAGCCACACATCCTCCCTGTCGTCAACTATGAGGGCCATGGAGTCGTCGCACGGAAAGAGGCGCTGGATATTTTTCTGGTTGCAGTTGCCCTCCGGAAAATCCTCGCGGCTTGTAATGCGGCCGCCAAAAAAGCGATTGTCGGGGTCAATGAGCTTTGCGACGCGATCGGCGTACAAGCGGCTGCCCATTGTATAAATGTGCAAGTTAAACTTGACGCGCAGGGTCTCTAAAAAATGGTTCAAGTTCGGCCTGACCTTGAGGTGCATGACGTGCGGATAGCGGAAGCCGCCTCTCGACGACGGGAGCGCGAACGAAGTGACGGAAGACAAGTCGGCGTCGGGGGGGGAATGGGCGAGCAGGGCGGCGGCGCGCGGGTCGTCGGTGGTGTGAACGAGGGTGTGGTCCAAGTCGAGGACGAGTGAGAGCTGATGTGCCTCGAACAGGCGTCGCGCGGCGCGCGACGACACGGACTGTGCCTCTGTGCGCGTGACGGACAGGGCGGCGCTGTATGCGACGGGCTGTCGCGAGGCGGCGTGCGGAGCGGCGGAGAAGAGGGTTTCCTCCTCGCCGCACACGGCGCAGAGGCCGTTGAAGACGACGCTGTGTGTGCAAAACTCGAGGTCTGCGACG